GCAAAGATTCTCATGGAGATCAAGTTGGGATTTGGATGCTACTGTAATTACATGCGGCCACAATGACAGCCAGCTATTTCCACAAGAGTGAAGTTGCGATTTGGCAGCTACATGCGACCGCATTAACAGCAACTCATTGGGGCTTTCCCATATGAATGAAGAAAGGATTTTGGAAGCAAAGCTATGGGTATGGATCCAGTGTTGCATGTTGNNCTTCCGCGGAGCTTCCGCGAACGTCGTGTGCCCGGAGATGTTTTTTTTCGGATAACTTGCCTGAATGGTCCCAAGGAGACATGCTGCTGAAAACATTCTAGTGGCTTCATTCAGGGCTCCAAGGTTGTGGTTAAGACACGGGACTTAACTCTAGGACTTGGTTGGGATGGGATGACACATAGCTGGTTCGACTTGCATGTTGAGAGCCAGGGTGCCTGAAAACTTGAGCTTCCGCAAGCACCTCCGCGAAGAAATGCTTCCGCGGAGCTTCCGCGTACTTCCGCGCGCATAGGGAAACCTCGTTTTCGGACCATGATTTGCTGAGTTTCTGTGCTGCACACTTATATTTGATCTACCGTAAAAAACAAACCGCTGCTCATCTAAGGAAAGGAGTCCGGTACCAATCCAACAGAGGACAGCCTCATGGAGTGTACAACTCAACCATCACACCTGAAAACAAATTTAATTCCACAATCACACATTGCAAGCCTTACAAAACGTTTACAGAGAAGGCAATTTGAAAGAATCTGATGTCGTCAAAAGCCAGCTTGAAAACGATTCGCAACAAAACCTGTGAACCCTCCTGCTCTCACAAGGCAGCATGAATAAGGTGAGAAACATGCGTCCGCTTCTGAGGGACCCAAATTGATTATGACCCCAAAGCAAGCTAAGCATAACACGACGCTCAAAGCCACCCCTGGGCCCACGCATCCACCCACAAAATAGCAATTTTAATGTCATGTTCCATGTCTTTTGAAAATTTGATTCTCCAGTACTACTTCGAAATCCCACACATCTATATATATATATATAGTCACAAAGCACCAGGAACTGCGCACAAACTTAGAACGCGACTTGCCACAACAGCCATCCACCCACCCATAGGACGGGGAACACTTGGAAAGCATGCTCCGCTGCACAGGGTGCGATTGCGTGGGCGACGACACTATGCCCTGTGCGTCAGATATACTAAGACAAGGATGGTTGAGGGTGCTATGAGATTCGGGTTTGTGGGATTGCTTGAAAGTTTTTCGGATTCACTCCAAAAGCTTCACTCAGGACTAGATCCTGGGTAGGTCTTCCCTATAAGGACTTGAAATGCTTCCGCATGAGGGCATTGAGCGCAGCGATTGATATTGGCGGACACCTCGCGCAGTGCTCCGATGTCACTGTCGGCCGCGGAGTGACTGCAACGGCTGAAGCCCTTACTGTACCCAATATCCTTGGTTCGATGTCTTTTCCACCTCTAGTTTTATGTTGTTCTGAGGCCTTTTCAAAAAATACATCTTTCAAAAAAAGAGTGTCAAGGGCCCTGACCATCTCCATCTTCTCAACTATTGCCTCGCAGAGCATATGCGGCGGCTGGACTGCAGCACTTTCGCTTACTCTCAGTCAACGTAGTCATGTCAACGTGGGCAGGGGCAGAGTGCCCCAAAAAGCTGTAAGAGACGTCTGAACTGCTGAGGATGGGGCTGAGGTCAAGAGCTCATCATGCTCCTTCAGATATTGCCAGGGTTCTTTGCATACGCGCCTGATCTAAGCTGGAGCATGCCATCTGGCCTTGCAGTCAGAGCAGGCCGCGGTTGTTGCCCTGCAGGCCTCTCCCGCAACATGAGACACGGAAAAGCCACCTGGAGATTGATGAAGCCTCGCTGCTGAGCTTCAAGAGCTCCATGGCCGCAGCTCAAGTGCTTGCAATGGCCCGGTCAAATCTTAAAAGGGTCAGACGTAACACTAGTCGTATCCGTTTGGCTTCTGTGTGAGCACTCTACCTGGTGATGGTAGTGCATGATGAACTGGATGTAACATGCACTGTACCTCAGATCTACTGTACTTGTAGTCATGGCGTCCGTGTAGTCTTTGTCCACATGGTCAATCAACACTCTGGGGTCGCGTTGGACCAGGTTGCAATTGCCAAGAACCCCAATGGAGGATGCTGACTGCAACATCCAAAGCGCAGGCTTTGTGGCCGCCACAAGATTTTCCTCGCACCGCGCGCGATGTATTCTTAGTATCCAAGAAGTATGGGCTGTTCGGAAAACGTCAAGCGGTTTCCAACATGCAGCCCTGACTCACTGAGCTTCATGCTGGGTTCCTCAGCAACTCCAAGAGAATGCAAAGGAATCAGGCGCCATGAAGATCTGGCTAGATCGCACTCTGAATTGTGCCATGCGTGGCTGATCATTCACATCACATGTGCCAGTGCTGAGCCTGCCACTTGCCCGCTTAGGCCCCAAACCTGGGCAGGCTATGCGGAAGGACGCACGCGAAGTTACCCATGACCAACGCCCAAGGTGCAGGCTGCTGGATCGCGTCCTCACAGGTGCTGATGACCAGACAAACATATCATACTGCCACCTTGCAGCACACTGCGCTCTGAAACTCTGGAAAACTTACAGGTCTACAGTATTGGGAGGGGCGGTGTGGGCGTCCTTGCCAGTCAACAGGTCGGCGGAGATGATTCCAAGCGCAGCAAACCTCATCAAAGATGCCCCGCGCCCCCCAATTCCCCTGCCCGCAGCTGGTCTCAGCAAACAGCTTTTTGCAGGCGAAGCGCAGAGAAACAAGTTTCAAACTCTGCTCTGAAAATCCATGCAAGTCTGAAAAATATGGGGCAAGCAGAAGCGTGCAGGTCTGCAAAACCCTGCCGGCACCCACTAGAAGTCCAAAATTGGAAGGAAGTGCAGCATTGGCACGTCAGGAGATCACACTCACAGAGGAGGCAGCTTTCTGCGTGCTGAGCAGACGTGCTGATGTGCTTAAGACATTGCGCTTGCGGCTGCGTGTAAGACTAAGATATGACCCTGGCCTTGGATTGAGGCTCCAGGTGTATTAACCTCAGGACTGCGCGACAGCGTGCCCTCTTCCGTTGACAATCAATTTGTGCTCCAAAAACAAACTTTCTTTCAACGTCTTTGCGGAGAATCCTACCTTGATAGATGGAATACAGCGAGAAGAAACTAAAACCTCCCTTGACTGCTTGACCGGCGCCACAAATTAAATTGCAACGTTCAAAACAGGTCCCTCGCAAAACTGTGTCCGAACCATCTAGCCCCAAGAAGTTCAGGTAACAAGATGATCAACAAGCATCTGCTGGGCCTCCAAGCAGCCGCGCGTAGCACACAGGCAAAAACTAGTTGCAGGTGGTACAACAAGAAGTTTTAAGACAAGCTCTTTTCGGGCTCCTGGGATTTCATCGTGTTCGAACCTGGTCCGAGTAGCACTTTGATGTCTCAAGCTTGGGAAGTTTCTTGCAAGTCTACGCACCATGATTTGGACAATCCATAAAAACCTACCTTGCGCATGCTTCAACGCAGCTAGGCAAAACTTTGAATTGCCAAGCAGCATTGAATCTGTTCCTGGGGCTATCACATCGTGAACCCAAACAAACTAAGCTTGACTATCTCCGGCGATCTCCTAAACCAGATTGAAGTTGGCCTTCCTGCCGGAATCTACCGACCAAGACATTTGCTGGCCCAGCGGCTTGACATTCGCAGAAAGGCCTTTGACTGGAAGAAAGTGCTTTGAACCTGACCAGCTGCCGAGGTATCTGCAGGGACCCGAGACCTTGTGACTCTTGAAATGTGCAACATAGAGAAGATGCAGAAAGCCACGCAGAACCGCTTCCACCAATTGTGTAGAAATGGTCCTATGCAGTTTAGCCAAGCCTTCCGGCCGGAGATAGGTCGTGTCACCTTGACGGCGCGTTCCCCATTAGCAGAAGGGAGCAGCTTGATTCCGCAAAAAAATTGAGGTGGGCCGCCCTCAACCAGCTCTGCCACAACTCCATGGACTCCTCTCGCTACCTTGGGAAAAGCTGCGTTTTCTGTGCTTGCGGCGCCGCCCCGCTGCGCATGCTTTTGGTTCCTGCCTGGCCGTTTGCAACTTTCGCAGACCAGCGCGGTCGGCTTCGAAAGCAGGTGCCCTTTGGGTGCACGACCTGCCCAAGGGCTGTACTATCAGCCCAGAAAGCTGCAGCTGAGGCTCCTCTCCAGGTGGCCTCGAACAGAAGCGCTTCTGATTTTTCGGCGGTTGGCACCTGCAGCCTTGGCATCTCCGCCTCGCGCGGAAGCAGAACCTCCAGAGCATCCCCGATGCAAACAAAGAGGTCTTGCAAGTAGTCCGCATTTTGAGGCAGGCTCCTATAAGTCTTTGAATCCAAACATGTCTGGCCTCGAGCTGCTCAGGTTCCTCCTGCTTCTCCTGCTCTCGCTCCTGGTGGACCAGGGCAAGGGCCTCTTTCCGCTCAGCGTCACGGCCCTCCAAGAACCTGAAAGCAGGTGTCTGCGTCAGGGGTGGAACAAAGGTGCCAGAATTGCCTGCTATGCCAAGAGACGAATGCAGGGCACCAAGCTCTGGCCAAGGCAGCCGTGTGCGGCACTCAGGGCAGGAAACCTGCTCAGGCTGCTTGAATCAGCAGCCACAGATCATCGCATTCTTTAGTCGTTGCCTGTGCAGTGGAAACGTGGCAGTTGTACTGGGACCGCAAGCTCAAAGGCCTGCGCATCCGCTGGCAGACTCAAGTACAGCGCAGCAAACATTAGAAGTGTCTCCACCCAACTCCGCCAAGACACCGTAGCTGCTTGTCCCATTCTGTCCACCAGTAGCTTGCCAAGCACCCACGATGGAATGCGTGGTAGCACGGAGTTCGCACCACCGGGTCTGCCTGGTCTCACTGAACACATAGGAGCTGTGGTGTGGTTGCTTGTCATGCTTGTTCAGCATCAAGGTATTAGCTGTTCAGCCAGTTGTTAATGTTCTCTGCACAGCCAAGCGTCCTCGGCATCATCCGCATCAAGCTCCAGGAGGCAAATGGCGCAGTCACCGCTGGGTGAGTTTAAAACCGTCAGCATGTCCTGCGCTGCCTGGATGGTCATACTGTCAATAGGTCCACGGCCCAGGGAACCGTAGTCTGCAACAACCGGCACAAACCATCCTCGTGCCTGAAGAAGCGCATACAGCGCAGGCTGCCCGAGCAGCAAAACAGCTTCAGCACTCAGCTTGGAGATGAAATCCCTGCTTCTCGACTCCGTAAGGCCTTGCAGGGAGGATGTCTCTGGAAGTCTTCCCGTCTCTCGAAGCCAGGACATCCGGCCTCGTGAAGTACCCAACGCTGGCCGTACAGGTCTCTGCGGGTAGCTCTGCGGCACATCCAGGAGGAGCTGGCAGCGCACGAAGCGTTCCTGGTCCTCCCCAGCCGTGTGGGGAACCAATTCCACTGAGATGCGCATGAGGTAATCGTCGCTGAGCGGCTCGAATGAAAATTCGGACTGGACAGCACAAGGCATGCTCTGCAAGATACTGCAAGAGCTGCACGGAACAGGAAGTGGTTCACCCAGCCTCATCAGGCCACATGGCGCGCAGCAACTCGATCTCCTCCTACAGGCCCATCCCTTGAATACATCATCTATTCCCAAAATCTGCCCCGTCAAACGTCTTCAAAGTCGCGCTCCTGGATCTCATCATCCTCGAGAAGCTGAGCATGTGGGCAACCCACAACCTATGCCTAAGACAAGGGCCCTTAGGTTTTCTGAGAAGCTGGCACAAACGACATCCATTTGCCCGGCACTTATGGAACGAAGTCGGTGAACTTTTAAAGGTCATGTTGAAGTAGTCCTGGGATTCTTGACTTAAGAGGTAGATGCCTCCAGTAGGAGCTGACACCTGTCATGAAAAGCGGCTGCGGATACAGCTGAGCAACGCAGTAGCTCCACATAGCTCTATAACAATACTCCTGGCTTCACCACAACTTCCGCTCCCCGAAACATCATCGAAAGGTGCGTGACCACGGAAGATGGAGAGCCTGCTGTAAAACGACCATCTAAGGCCGAGACATGGCAAAGCGTCCGTTGTTGATCTCCTGGCAAGGGCCCACTTGCCTGAACTCCTCCGCACCATTTGTGGCAATCTGCGACCAGCCTTGGCGCGCATGTCCTCGTTGTACTGGCCAAGGCCTCAAACCAGCTCGCGTCTGTCTTTCTCCCTCCTATGCAGGGACCCAAGAACTGAA